CACTTCTGACTCGAGGTGCTCCAGCGTGTTCTCCTGCATCACAGGGAAACAGCAAAAACAGAATGGAGCCACTTTTGTCAGTGGGGTCAGCCTCCTTGGAGAAACCCTTTGGGTGACTATTTTTCCTCAATTATTGTTGATTATCTTCTATACCTTTGTCTCCTCTCTATTCCTACATTATTCTCCTCCCTTCTTTATGATCAATAGGTGTGGCAGGAAATAAACTTTTCTTTCAATTATTTCCATAGCAACATACACACTGGCACCTGCTCCACTCTGTTTCAGGTTGCCTTGTTTTACAATGACAAGAGCCCTTTATCAGTTACAAACTCAAGCTGACCATAAAAGAACCTCCTAGAAACACGTCAAACCTAGAAGCACATCTAGTTCTAAGAAGAGACTAATTTTGACTCCTCGCTTCACCCAGGACCAGGCAGTGTAGTCACCCTGAGGGCATGATTCAGGCTCCCAATTACCCTCTGGAAAGGGGTTTGGGAGGAAGACCCTAAAGCAACTTGAACTTCATAAAGGAAAGAAGGGGCAGTCAATCTTGTGAAAACAAAGAACCTGAGGAAACAAAGCTGAGGAAAGGAGAGAGAGGCAGAGATCTTTTCACTCTCAGTGCTAATTACACCACCAGTGTCTGAGCCTCATATTCCCGGGGAGAGGAGAGGGGAGGGTGTCATCTGTTCATTAGAGTCACTTACTAAGGGGTCCTTCCCAACCTCCTGCAGCTATCTGAATTAAAAGTGTCACATATACTCTCACCTACGGAGCCTAGGATAACACCTTCATCTGTGACAGAGAAGTGAGCTCACAGCACATCCTGATTACAGGGCTTTCCTACTCCATGCGCCAGACTGTAACGATTTCCTCTCACTGACGGGCAGGAGACTCATAACAGCAAATCACAGCTATGCCGCAGGATTAACCTGTCTGGTCCTCCTGTCCTGCTGATCAATCTCAGAACATGTTTTAATGAGTAAGACCTACCAGCCAATGCTTTTGAAACATCACTGCTCCTGCCAAGCCAAAAGGCGAGCTGAGCACAGTTTATCAGTGCCCACTCCTCCCCAGAGGCTCGCAGCCACCAAGGGTTTACCACCACCATAACTGCCCTCCCCATGGTGATGGTTAATCTTATGTGTCAACTTGGCCGGGCCACACTACCCAGACATTTTGTCAAACAATACTCTAGATGTTTCTGTGAAGGTTTTTTAAAGTGAGACTAACTTTACAGATCGCTTGACCTCCCTGAACTGTTAGCTCTATCTCCCAAACTTGGAAGTCTGCTGTGCTCCACCTGGGACCCTTCTCCCTACACCATGGAAACTCTCTCAAAGGATGAAGCTGGGACAAGCAGAGTCCACCTTGGATTTTCCTGTACCACAGGGATCACTGGCCTTTGTTGCTTGATGTCCAGTGTCTTAAAAGACCAATGTTTCATATCTTTTGTCAGTTTTTTTTCCCCTCAGGGAATTCTCATGTCCTGCTCTTGGTAATTTAAAAGAGGTCAAAATAACCAATGGCCAGAGTGTGTGGCCTCACTGTCTTCTTATTCCAGGCATCAGGCTGCTGAGTCATCTCTGTCAGAAACTTCCCTCCTGGTCCTATGGTTAGAGGTGCCAGCTGGTTCTGAACCAGTGCGCGCAGCCCAGGGGGCAGGTGGGAGCTGCTATGCCCAGGAAGGGAGGCTGTCTAATTCACATGAAGGTTTCACGGCCAATGGAAGCCCACCTGATGGCCTCCATACTGGCCCTTCCACTCTCTAGATGGCTCCCCGATCACCACCTGCAGGCTTTGGGCAGCCAAACTCGGAGAATGGCTGCTGCCTTCACACGAAGCAGACCCAGGGCTTGGGCCGACACGGCCTTTGCCTCAATTACGTGGGCTGTGGGGGGCAAGAGGAGCGAGTCAAACACTACATGTGGCCTCGGGGGCCACAGCAATGTTACAAAAGCTTCAGTGGGTACCCAGCAGTGGAAAGGTCCTGACCAAATTTTCCTTTTCAAATAGAGATGGTACATTTAAAGCATCTTTTGAAATTTTATACCTGGAGTCATTTTGGTTTTTAGTTTTTGGGGGGGTGCATGTATTAGGTTGAAACAAAGGATGACGATCTATCCTTCTAAAGACCACAGAGGCAGACAGCTCTTCTGTTTCCTTTAGAATAATATCTAAAACCTTCCATTAACCCAGAAGACTAACTACCCCAGGCTTAAATATTCCCTGTATTCGTCTGCTTGGGCTGTCATAACGAAATACTCTAGGCTGGGCAGCTTCAAGAAGAGAAAGTCATTTTCTCACAGTCCTGGAGGCTGGAAGTCCAAGATCTAGGCGCCCATAGGTTTGGTTTCAGCTGAAGCCACCTTCTCACTGAGGTCTCCGATGTCTCTCCTCCTCTTATAAGGACATCAGTCCTGTTAGATTAGGGCCCCACCCTTACGATCTCATTTAACTTTAGCTACCTCCTTGAAGGCCCTATCTCCAAACACAGACACTGGAGTTAGGGCTTCAGCATATGAACTTGGGGGACAGTTCAGCCCATGGTGCCCCCCTAAATGCACACCTTTGCAGCAGGGTCACCATTCTCTTTGCCTGGCATGGATGTTGACTATATCCCAGGTCCCTTGCTTCACTTGCAGTCTCTCAGGATGACAGAGGACTCTGAGTTCTCAACACTAAGCTCACATTGAGGGGGTGTCACTACAAGTGAGTGCCCCCTCCAGACAAGCCGGATTCAGCTCCTCCTCGGAAACCCCAGAGAGCTGGTCCTGGCAAAGCAACTGCAGCTACTGCCGCCCCAGTCTCCCATCAGGACACCCACTCACAGGACAAAGTCACTGTCACCAGAAATTTATCAGGTCACACAGGGTGAGATCACCTTTGGTTCCACATCTTCCTCCCTCTACCCATGTCCCCCTCCCCATTTCTCCTCCTCAACTGCATGCCTGTCCCCAGCAAGGAGGCCTCTTTGCTCTCCTTCCACACTAAGACTCTGTAATACGGGCAGGGTAGGTACCAGGAGGCAATACAGCGTGGCAGAGGTTCCCAGACCTTGAGGTACATTAGGATTGCCTGGGGAGCTTTCAAAACTCCCAGTCTCCAGATTGCATCATTTATAGACTAAGTCAGAATGTTTGAGTTGGGAGCCAGACATTAGTATTTTTCCGGAGGAAGGAGGTTTTGAATCCCAACTTCACAACTTCTATTGTGGCCTTGGGCAAGTTACTTAATCCTACATGAAGATAACAGTAGCATCTATCTTATACGATGGTGGTCAGGATTAAATGCGTTTATACTCATGAAGAGCCTAGAACAGCGCCTGCCATGTAAGGTATGTGCTGTGTTAACTACCATTTTCACTAGCGGGGCCAGAAAGGAAACCAGGGTGTTCGGAGGAAAAGCCATCACTAACTCAAGAGCTCAGAAAGGAGAATTAATATACTCACTCTCCTAACCGTGAAAGTGGAAAAGATTGAGCTAACATTTCCCGAGTACCTGCTGAGTGCAAAGCATGCATTATTTTACTGAATTTCTACAATAATCTCTCAAGGCTAATATTATCATTATTTAACGGGAGAATAAACTAAGGCTCAACGAGACAGATTCAGGTTAATCTAGTGAAGGAGTTGGGATTTACACCCAGGTCTCTCTCCCTCCAAACTCAGGCTCCTCTGAATCCTCTTTTCAACTAGACCTTGACCGTAGGACTTCCGTGTTTGTCTCTGCATTGCCCAATGTTAGCAAAAAATCCTGCTAAGTCAGTTTATCCAGAATCCCCCACCCTCCATACCTGCAAATTCCTCATTACCATCCCTCACCCTCCCACCCTGGCCAGGTGATGCCTGGGCACCCGCCTGCCTTCAGCAAGAATCCTGTCAGGTGGGTTTAGCCAGAAATCCCCTTTTTACCTTGATGTTTCCTCTCAGGAATTTTCCATCCGCCAACCTTCCATGCTGCTCCTTGGCTGTAAACCTGCACTTGTCCATGTTTATTTATAACTGAGCCAGTTCCACACTGAGGTTTCTTTTCCCCTCTTGTGATAGTCTCTGAATAGAACCTGTTTTTACCACTTGACTGTCCAGCTCTGGTATGCCTTGAACAACCTGCATACACACATGTGCATACACACACGCATATGACACCCCCCACCCCCCACCACCACAGCAGAGCTCTGGAGGCTCCCCCCACGAGCGCTCACAGCCAGGTGAAGGAGCTGTCCTTGGTAAGGACATGGCACCAGCCCCATCCCCATCCAGCCACAGAATGACTCTTGTACACTGGCGACCATAAACCGTACCC